TGGGGTCTGCCACGCCTCCTTCTGCCTGTTACATATATTTAACAAAACCATTATATATTAACAAAACATTTATGATTTCCCATTTTCAATGGGTTCAGGGTATAAACAAGTAAGAGTGCTCTAGTCGAGACTGCTCGACTAGGAGAAACCCTGAACCATCCAATCTTATATTTTAATCATTTTGCACTTCTTTGATACACACATGCATATTTATCATATTTAAATCCACAGTAAATCTGAAATCTAATAGTATTAAAATGAGGCTGAAAAAAACAAAATCAATTTTTCGATTACTCTCGATAATAAAAGTTATCGGATGATTTATAGAAGAAATAAGAAAAACTTGTACTGCGTATGGTATACACGAGTATACATGCTAAATTTCAGCTCTCTAGCCTTTGTATCTTCTGAGATCGGCGCACTCATACAGACGGACGGAAGGACAGACGGGCAGGGCTATATCGACTCAGCTCGTCGTCCTGATCAGGAATATATATACTTTATGGGGTCTGCGATGACTCCTTATGCCCATTAAATATTTTCACAAAACCATTATACCCTGATTTTCAATTTTCAATGGACTCAGGGTATAATTAGGACTATATTATCTATGATTTCCATTGGAATAAATTCTTACGTTAAATAGTCTTCATCTCTAGTATCATCAGCAACAAAATTAAAGTCAGCAATGAATTCATTGAAATCTCTATGAGAAACTTCTTCAATTACAGATGCATCTTTTAGTTCATGATACAATGAACTGAGAGTTCTGTCTCCTGTCGGATCTATAACTTTTTTCTTCTTTCTGCCCTTCTTCTTCTTCTTGTTTTTTACCTTCCCAGGTTTATAGGGTTCATCTTGATCTGCCGCTAAAGCAGTTTTTAACAGTTCATATTCAACGCTGAAATAATTATAAAACATATATTATAAACAACAAAGTTTATATATATTTAATTTGGTGTTACTTAACTAAATTAATTTTATATCTTAATTTTTACAATTACAATTTTTAGGTTCTTTAACGTAAATTTCAAATGAAGTGATGGTAAATGAATTTTATAAAACTGGGAAAATATTGTTAATATTTACCGCATATACTCGTCCACCAATTCCCGCAGTTCGTGATGTATTACATCTAATTCTTGTTCAGTCACCCACGCTTTAATTGGACCATGATTTTTATTTAGATATTCATCAACATTTCGCCAATCGATTGAAAATTGCTTCATTGTGTCTTCAATATTAACTGTTAAAATTCGATAGATTTAAAGATATTTTAGATTTAATAATCCCGAGTGAGTAAATTAGAAATTATGCAAATAATATGATATCTCATAAATCTGACATTTTCATTAACTTAGTCCTAGTTGATATACCTATTGGCTTGCTTGATGCTATTGAATAGGCAACATCAATTATTCCGGCATCTTTTAATTTTTTTCTTCGCTTCGCATCCTTCATTTTTTGGTTCTTAAGTTTTTCTTTCATTTTCCTCTTCTCCGCTTTTTTCTTATCTTTTATTTTTTTCTTTTCCTCACTTGTCAAAGGTTTCTTAGTTAGACTCTCCTGAAATGCTCCTACGTCCATTGTTTCGTCAATAACAACCAACACAGTTCCATTCTTAACAGGATCAGGATATGGGTGGAAATTCCCAGTTGCTGCATAGCTGTAATTAAAAAATGTATAGTTTATTTTATTAATTTAGATGTTAGCTTGTTGAATATCAAAAAGTACTTACAATTCTGCAAACCAACCGCGAATATGATCAGAAATATCTTCCATTATCCAGGGACTTCGCAATTGAAGCAAGCGGGTTCGTTCATCCATAATAAGTTGTTCAAATTCCTCATCAAGTTTTCTTCTCTTCTGCTCATTTCTATACATCTCGAGAACAGAATTCGAAAACTGGTTTGGTCTTTTTAGTTGACGTAATTTTCGAATGCCCAACAATTCTCTTTTAAATTGTTTTTTGATTTTATAAATTTTTTTTGTTTTATACGCTCTCCACCAAGTTTGAATAAGACTCGCTGCGCGATTGCGTATTTCTTTTAAATCTTCAATATTATCATCTAAAATTGTAAGTTATCGTCTTATTATTTACAGGAAAAACATACGTATATCATTTTTTGGAATTTATGCAGCACTCTAGTACATACATAAATACAAATGTTTCACAAGTAAGAAAACTCTAGACTGCTCGACTAGGAGATAACCTTCAAATTTGATATTCTAATCACTCTGCACTTCTTTTAGGCACACATACATCCATACTCACGCATAAGCCAGCGACCAGCGACTGCGCTTGGGCTGCGCTGCAGTGCGGGCAATATTATACGAATTTATTTGTTGAATAATTTAATTTCTAGACGTACAATCTTAATGAAACTTTC